GGGGGGGTGACGAGCAGCCGTACACACAATACAAACCCGAGATACAAACACATATGGCAGTAACCGTGAGTAACTATTGGATAGCAAATTAACATCTTTTTTTAGGGGGGGGGGGAATCGTATGGATGGAGGGGGGAGAGTTGATGGTAGTGACAACTGTTAACATGTTGCACCCAAGTGTTAACCAGCACATCCTGTTGTGCTCATTATCACTCTGAAAAATGACGCTCTATTTTATTTATTTTTTACTTTAGAAGAAGAATTACTGAACTGAACTGAATAACCCCCATGAATTTATTTAAATTATTCAATGGTGTTGTAATGATACTGATATTAAAATCAAATCAAAATATTAGAAGCAGATGTCATTCAATAGGAGACAACACCAATGGCTGGAAAGTTACTGAGAGAGAAAGTGCCCCAAGCAGAACTCATCAAGAGCAAAAGCCTTGTGCAAAATGTACCGGGATGAATATATATAGTAAATTAAAATCAGCAGAATTAAAGAGAAGAGCCATTTTAAAATTGGGTAGTTAAATTATTTAACTATTGAGAGAAATGGGAACACTTGACCAATAAATATACAATAGTTCAGGCACTAAAAGTTTCCTGACATTAAAAATCCAAACCTGCACAATTTGTATATTCAAAGAAAAATTCTAAACAAAATTGAGAAAGGTCAATACTGACGAAACAATAGGAAAATAATAAGTCATATTCCCTAACCTAACCACGTCAACGGACCAATGAAAGACTTTGTTGAATGAACTCGTCATCGGCGATAACATTTCACTGACTGACTTCCCAACAGAAACTCCGAAATTCATCAAAAATAAATTCCGATGAACGGAAATTTTTTCAAACTCACATTGTCTTTGATACCCATGGTTCCGGGGGAACAAAAATGCGGAGACACGCCAAGGTATGGATCAAATAAGGAGCACCACTTGTCTTCAGTAAACACTGCCAACAAAAAACCAACCGCGCACGGGTAAAGTGAAATATGTTCGGGAAGCGCACTCGCAGGACGCACACACAACGACACGTCCGAACAGCACGACGGTTCGAACCAGAATGCCACACGTCACGGCACGGCCGGGCAGCCGGGCCGCCGGGACGGGAGGACGGGAGCGCCGGGAGGGCCGGGAGGGTCCGCTCCGCTCGGCTCGAGGCGGGCTGCGGGCTGCCTCCGCGGCGGGCGCGCGGCCGCGTCCGGACGGCCCCCGCGGCCAGGGCGCCGCCCGCCCCCGCGAGCTCCCCTCGCACTCGCGGCCCGCGGGGCGGGGCGGGGGACGACGCCGGGCTCCGGTCCCGCCGGGCGCGCTGATTGGCTAGCGGCCGGCGACCTGACATTCCGTAAATAACTCTTTCCTGCACCGCCAGCGCCACCCCGGCCAGGACCACCGTCTCAAGTACTGTGTGTGTGTGTGTGTGTGTGTGTGTTTGGCGACCGATACGCAGACGAGTGGAGTGCCTGGCGCACACGGCGGTACGAGACACGACAACATCAACATCGTGGAGGTGCGACTCAGCTCTCTTCCTTCCACCCCCTCCACCCCTCCCTCCGTGCTGCGGTCTGGACCTGCGCCGGCGCCGACCCAGTTTCTTACCCGCGAGCCCACCGGCCCAGCCCAGCACGGTGGCGGGCTAGAGTCGCGCCACGCCCGGCCACCGCGCGCCTCTGCTGCTCGTGGTCATCCCCCCGCCCTCTCCCTCCCCTCCCCCCGCCACACGACATTCCCTTATCGGCCGGTGAATGGCGACGTCACAGACAGCGCGGCGCGAGGCGCGAGCACGTGCCACACTCACTCACACACTCACACGCACACGAGTGCGGGGTGAGGACCGCGCGGGGCAACCCTTGCCTCCACCGCCCAGCCCCGGCCGGCCCGGAGCGCCCGGCCAGTAGGCAACGCGCGCGCAGCCGTGCTCCGCCGCTGCCTACCCGGGCCCGCCCCGACCCCCGCCCCCCGGGGACGGCAGTCCTTCATTACCGACGCCGAGCGAGTGAGCGGACGCGACCCACGAGACACACGTGGCGGAAGGTCGGTGAGGTTGTGGCCGCACCTCGCCGCCCTGAGCGTCCCGTCGTCGTGCTGCTCACGCGGGGGCGCGTCCTCCTGACCACCATCCCCGGGAATACCTTGTGTGCGGGAGAGAGGGTGGGGGAGAGGCGGGAACCTCGGGGGGAACGGGGATCTAGCGGGTTTCCCAGAGGCCGCGACCAGCCACCACCTCACGCCAGAGCAAACGACGTCACGACCGTCGTAAAGCCGTGACCTGAACGCGAGCCGAGCGTCATCGGAGCCCTATCGGGTCTGGTTGGGGCACGCGAACCACCCCGGTGTCATCGGCGACCCCGTGACCTGTCCCCACCGGGCACCTCGCACCCGCCGGTCGCACGACCGCGTCATCGGTGACCTCAGAACAGAGCTGGTCGGGGGAGTCGCGGGTACCTGCGCGACCGTCGCTGTCATCGCAGTCTTCACGTCCCCTCTCCTCCTCGTCGCCTTCCTCGATAGCTCCCCGTTGTCACGCTAGTCCACGATTGCCTCTCCCGAGCACGTAGGTCAGGGAGAGTGCCGCTGCGCGCCGTGTCCGCGCATACATTATGAACGGGGGGTGGGGGTGGCGACCCCCCTCCACTTCTCTTCCTCCCTTTTGCTGAATGGAGTAGACTCAGGGGACGTCTGCAAACGACAACATTACTTTCAGCGTTCTTTCTCGACATCCAACGCCACCTTCGCCCTCGTCCCCGCCACTCTGCCGCCGTGTTCGAGTTGGTAACCTGCTCGGAGCAGCCGCGGCGACTGAGCGGGGGCGTTCACCCTTCTCCCCCCCCCCTTCCACGCCTCTCACAGCCTCCCTTTCCCCGGAGGACCAGTACATATAGCCCCCTCTGCTCTCTGCTTCCTTGCTGAAAACAAAATGACACTGTAAACATCACTTCTGTGAATTTATACATATATACACTTTTTATTTTTCGTTTTGGTGCATATAGCAGTATCGTTGCTTTGGACGACAGCATAATTTTTTTGATATGTATTTTTAGGAATAAATGAGGGTAAAATGTGTCCATTATTGTTCATGGTTTGCCCGGGTGGACGACTGGGGTATACAAACTGCGTACAAAAAACCCCTCCCTGTGGACGAGGTGGTGGAGCCGAGCAGCTGCTGGACACTGGTCTCCGACGCAACTCCTGTCCTGTGTCTTTACATCTTTTGCTGTTGTTTTAACTTATTTATTTGTTTGGGACACAGCGACGACCCGGACCCGGACACCCGTGGGTAAGGAGACTCGCGCCAAACGCCCGGGGCCTGACTGCCCTCGGGAGGGGGTCCCGGTCAGGCCTACCGCGAGTGTCCCCCCCCCCTCTGCCCCTTGCCTCTTCCAAATAAAAAGAAAATCCATGGACCGAACAAAAAATGACTACAAACAACGACAGAAATCCACGACGTAGACCACCACCCTGGGCTGTTGTGTTGCGCTAGCACTGCGAGGTGAGGTGAGGCCTGTCCGGGCGGAACGGGACGAGACGAGACGAGACGAGACGACAGTATTGAAGGTCGACCAGCTCGTCGACGAGTAGAGAGACGAGAACGGGCGGGCTGTGGCTGTGTGCTGGCTCCGGGGCGGAGTGGAACCATACCAGCGACCGGAGAAGACCCGTGAGCGGAATCCCACAGCGAGCCAGCACCCAAACCAGACGTGGCTACTACTTCTTGGATCTTGCCTCGGTGTGTGTGAGCGCGCGAGCGCGCAGTGCGCGCCTCGGCGAGCGCATGTTGTGTGTGGAAGGGAATGTTATTGCGTTTTGTAATTCTAATTACACTGTATATGAATCTGTACTTCACTAGATGGATCCCAGTGGACGCGCGGCACTGTGGTGCTCTTGCACCTACCGTATAGGAGAGGATAAAGATGAGAGAGAGAGAGAGAGAGAGAGAGAGA